GCTGGGTGGTTTATATATATTTTAAAAAATACATGTAACATATAATGTAATTGACCTTAGAACAGAAGAAGCTTCTCGGATGAGAGGTGAAACGTCTTCAAGCAACTTAAAGAAGTCCAGACGCTTTTCTTTGCAAGCTCCTTTGACTAATTGCAAGGAGGTACTTCTGTAGTCTATTGATTACTAGATAGTGGAAAAGGGGTGGGATTAAATAAGCTTATGCTTCTTCCTGCTCCTTTTTGAACATCAAAGTTATTTGTAGTTGTGGTTGCTCGTTTTCCTTTTGTTTTGCTTTGTTTATTTATCTCTCTTTAATTCTATGTTGTTGTACTTTTTCAACATGTTCAAAATAAAGATTCAATCATTCAATTAATCAATCAATCAAACATGCAGTGGGGCTACCCACACTATCCAAGACTGTCTATGTTGTGGAAAAAGACACACCTCTACAATGGCATCCACAGGACATGCCTCCTGACAGAAACCGCAGTAGATACATTTGGTCATGTCAATGTCGTAGCGAGTTGTCCTCCTGCTGCCATCAGCACGCGTCTCTGCCTCTATGGTGATGGCCTGGAAAGGAAAATTGTTAGCGATGATATCAACAGCGCTATCTGGTATTTGTACTAATAATGAATACAAACATTCATTCCCCAGTATACAGTACTGTGCAAACATTTTGACCCTCCTATCTTTTCTTTTGTTTGTTTTTTTTGCTTCCATGGAGCGATACATTCAAATCAAGGCTCTACTCTGATCGCATCCTTAATGAGTGGTCTTGAGTAATAGTTCTCCAGGGTTTCTTTGGACATTACCGTTAGTTTCGGGCTATAAGCCACTACTTTTTGCACAAGCTTTGAACCCCGCGGCTTTTCTATGGATCGTCCATGATTTTTGTGATATCGTAAGAGGATTTGTTTTGGTTGTTCCGCTGTTGTACGGCACTACGTTGCCTGGCGGAAGGGCATGTGATCATTCAAAAACCCTCAGTATGGCAAACAAAAGAAATGCATATGATGCAGCTTTCAAATTAAAGGCAGTCGATTTGGCACTCAGCAAGGGAAATAGAGCTGCTGCACGTACCCTTGGTATAAACTAATCAATGGTGAGACGTTGGAGACGAACTGGCTCTGTGCAAAAAGACGAAAAAAGCTTTCAGAGGAAATAAGAGCAGATGGCCCAAACTTGAAGACTGTATTGAAGACTGGGTGAACACGCAGAGAGCAAACGGGCGAGGTGTCTGTGCAGATCCAACTAAAAGCCAAAACAGTCGCCAACGAAATGAAGATAGAAAATTTCAGAGGTGGGCCATCCTGGTGTCACAGATTTATGAAACGAAAAGGACTGTCCATGAGGGCACGGACGACTGTGTGTCAGCAACTCCCTCCCGACTACGCAGAGGAAAATAACAAACTTCCGCAAATTCACACTAAGAAAGATAAACGAATATTCTATCGGACCGGACGAGATCATAAACATGGATGAAGTGCTTTTGACGTTTGACCTGCCCCCTCACTAGGACTGTTAACAAGCAAGGCGAATCAACCACCACGGTGAGAACCACTGGCCATGAGAGAACGAATTTCACTTGTGCGCTGGGCTGCACAGCATCAGGGTTTCAACTTCCGCCAATGGTGATCTTTAAGCGGATGACTATGCCAAGAGAAGAGATCCTGAG